TTGCGGTTTGGGCACTCAGCTGCCAAAAGACTCACCATTGCTGCCCTAGAGCCGCGCATGCTAAACAGGTATTTGTTCACGAGTGATCTGCACCTGGACCCTCAGAAACTCTTTAAGTTGTCGGCAGCCAAGGATGGGACATGGAGGCTTCTCTCTTGATTTTGTCCAGTCTCATTTTGGTTCAAAGGAACACTGATTGCTGCAGCATTTGAGACTTTCCCCAAATCGTTCATTCCACCAGAATAAGGTATTCTGCCTTCTTTACACAGACCCTGTGACTGTGCTCTGAATTTGAAGCACGTCCAGTGCCTAAGATCCCGGAGTAGGACGGTGTCCTCCTCCTGTGTGTAGTGTGTGGCAGGAACAAATGACCTCATCGGTGTGGCCCACTTTGTCATGCAGGAGGAGCCGGAGCAGCTGGAGTGGCATGCACAGTCCCACCAGGCAGCAGGCAGGTCAGAGCCAGGTTTAATGCGGGGCCGTGGCTTGCAGAAAGGCTCTGTAGGGGTTCTGTTGTCAGGTTTTCGTCATCGTCGTCGTCACCCTCCTCCTCCCTCCCCCTCTCATCCCCCCCACTCCCCAGTTCAGGGGTCTAGTTGCTGATCAAGCTGACTGTGGTGTCAGTTTTCAAACTGCTTCCTCCCGCAGATGCTGGTGTTTATTTAACCTCCCATGACTCAGTCCTGTGATTCAGCTGGGCCTGTTTTGCTCTTGGAGGAAGCAAATGGGGAGACCAGCTATCAGTGCTCTTTGTGGAATTTGGGTTTTGCACGTTTGAGTTTGATATTTCCAGGTTTCTGTATTCCACGCTGAGGTAGTTGTGATCCTTCTGTCAAATTTAGGCCTAAGTATCCCCAAACCCTAACACATGGTAGCTGTGGCAGGACTTGCTGGGGACCACAGAGCTAACGCATGGTGCCAGTGCCCAGTAGGGTTCGTTGGTGTGCAGAACTCTCTCTTATGCCCCTTTCAGTGGCCAAGGAAATTACCAGCCTCCCTCACATTTTCATAATGAGACAATAAAATGACACATTATAGCTGCATGATTACCAAAAACACATCAAGATGGTATAGTGGGAAGTGGCTTTCAGCTCAGCCTGTTGAGAAATGAGCATAAAAAAAGAGAAAAATGGAAAATCTATTCCAGTTTATCTACCTGTACTCTTTTCTGTGTGAGGTTGTTAAACAGTGAACAGCTTTGGGCTACTCCTAAGGTTTTAGTTTTTGCAAGCAGGTCCTGTCTGTCCTCCCTGTTGTGCCTGTGATTCTGGAAAGACCTCTTGGCTGAGTGGAGGCCAGAGACTCCTAGTTGAAGAGCATGGGATGCTTTGGCTTTGTGTCAGCAGGGCCTGGCTTCTGGGAGGTGCTGATCTCCTGGCTGTGTCCCTTTTCCTGACACCCTGTGGGGAGCCTGCCAGATCACAGAGTGGCTTAATCTTTTGCTATGTGCAGTACCAGATCTACTTTCTAGCAGGCTGGATGCCTGAGCTTGGTCTGTGCTAGTGCATTTGTCATAGGGCTCAGAGCGCAAAGCAGCCAGTGCCCAGTGGGGTTGCTCTGAAAGGACATTGCTGGCCTGGAAGGCAGGAGTTGCTACAGCCCTAGCCGAATGACTGGGTGTTCTATGCCACCCCCAACACTCCAGAGTACTAGGCAGAGTGGCATATGTCTGCGAGTTGGTGCCTCCCATTCCTTTAGAGAATTCAGAAGTCTACAGCTTGTCCCACAGGCCATGCAGCAAGTACCCAGTTTACCCAGCAGAGGGGTGGCCCAGACTGCAGTGAGGCAATCATTTGTGGGGACTTTGTGTCCTTTTCTAATGGCTCGGCGAGAAGGTGAGAATGGAAAGGGAAATTACTGGCAAGTAGCACAGCCAAGGTTGAGAGATCCATGGCAGGGTGGGCAGTCAGGATTGGCATCCTCTGCTGTGGCCTCTCCTGGTGGCCATGTGCTTCCCCCCACCTGGTCCACTGCTGAGCAAGCCGGGGCTCTGGGCAGAGTGGGAGGCAGAGCCCTACCGTGTCTGGGCCAGGCCCTTTCTCTCTGTGTGGATATAGGGCTTGCTCTTGCTGTCTAGGCCTCCACACTCCTGCTGCTTTTTAGTGCAGCCCCCTCCAAGCCACATTTCCACAGTAAGTTCACATGAAGTAAATCACTGCATGACTTGTCCCATCTTTTTGACTGCATTAGTTTTCTTGCTAACATTTATTTCACATATATGTGTTTATGTTTCAGTCTGTAATTAATGCAGTGGTCCATTCCCCCTCACAGGGTATATTCTAAGATCTCCATTGGATGCCGGAAGCCACACATAGTACAAAAAACCCTTTATATGATGTATACACTATTTTCACCCTGTATACACAATTTTTTCATAACACACAGCACTTTAACCTATTTGATTGGAGGAAGCACTTTATGGCTTCCCTTTGGCATATGCAGATTCCAGTCTATTCTTTTGGGCCATTATTAAAGAAAAATAAAAGCTACTTGAACACAACACACTGTGAGACCTAGATAATCTGAAACCTGAAACAGATACTGTTAGGAGAGTAGTACATACAGTGTAGATCCATAGTCAAAAAGATAGCTCATGTCTCAGGCAGAACGGTGTGTGTCTTAGTTTTTTCTCATTGCTGAGACAGAATACCCAAAGCTAAAGGGGGAAAGGTTTATTTAGTTCACAGTGTATAGAAGTTTCAGTCTATAATCAAGCTCCCACTGGCTCCAACGCTGGGTGGCTTGGCCAGAGGGACATGGCAGAGGAGAAACACTTCATGGCAAACAGAAAACAGCAGAAGCAGGCAAGCAAGGGATGACCACAGTTCTTTCTATTCCTTATGACTTATCCAGGCCAGAGCAGGTAGCCCAGTGCCCTTGATCCTGGCATTGTACTGTGAATCAATCCCAGTATCACAGATCCAGCCACCTCTGACTGCATGAGGCTAGCCATAACAGTGTGAGGTTTCATTACACTGCTCAAAATGGTGTACAACTCAGAATTTAAGACTTGTTTCTGGGGTCTTTCATTCAGTGTTTTCATATCCACCATAATTGATGGATAATTGAATCTATGGATAAAAGGGCTTCCATCTATGTTTATATTTTTCTCCTTTAACTTATTCCTTCTCTATCCCTCAGAGCCTTTGGGCCTGTGTCTGGTATGGGGCACGGGTACTTAATATATAGTGAGGACAAGAAAGCAGACGTGTGGTGCCGAGATGCGTGACAGAAGCCTGTAATGTACAAGGAAGCCTTTGCTGAGGCCGTCTCTGGGTACCTTGTGTAAACACAACCTGTCCCGTTGTGGGCCTGGTAGGGGAAGTTTGGAGAAAGGATTTAACATGCCATCGCCGAGCCTAGAATCTGCCTGGGATCAGCAGTTAGATTCCACTGATTAGGGGGCGGGGGAGCACCTGTGCCATCTTCTCCTTTCCCATCCTAGTCATTTGAGGAACATTGAGCAGCTCTTTGAAAATTGGTGTTATTTTCCACATATCTGTTCTTTTGAAGAATATTTTTCCTTTTTTTTAATAAGTTTAATCTGTTCCTCAAAATTTGTAGAAAGTTCTGCAACCCTGAGAGAAGAATTCTCAAGCTGAGAAGAAAATGAAGTTTAAGAAGTGCCATTTCTGGCAAAATCGCCTATTGTATATGCTTTTATAGCAGAGATACTGCATTAATAAGGACAACGAGTGCCCTTGTGCCCGCCAGATTCCACAGGGATTGACTCAAGATGAGTTAGGCTTCGGTTATTTGGGACAGATGGCTTGTAACAGGACTTGTCAATACTCCAGATACTAAAGTCCACATTTCTTTTGGTAGCCTGGTTCTGGGTTTGGTACTCTTGGACTGAAACTTCACCTTTTGTTTGATCAGGCTGTTTGCTGCATGTCAATGCCATGATGTTAGCCTGGATTCTCAAACTGGGCTCTGTCCTCTGTAGTCATCCTTTTAAGAATGAGTCATTTTTAGAAATTCCAGGCCTTATTTTTTCCCCCAGTCCACTAATGTTTGCCTACCCTGCCCACGCCATGCACCAGTCTGTATTGTCATTTTAAACATTTCTTTACTTGTTTCCAGCTTTTCTATCTTAACATAGAAACTGAAACTGAAGTCAGCTGTTAAAAGGCACTTTAGTTTAAAAGCAGAGTGAATGACTCCTTTATTGTTTTTGTTAGGTATGTGCCTGATATCAGATCCCAAAATACTTTCCTTAGAATTTTATTCTTACAGCAAGGTATTAAACATTCATATGCTGAGCGTGGTGGTGCAGGCTTATAATCCCAGCACTTGGAGGCTAAGGCAGGAGGATTGTAGTACATTTGAGGCCAGCTAGGGCTGCACAGTGAATTCAGGGCCAACCTGAACACAAGAGGAGACCCTGCCTCAAGCCCCCCAAATTCATCTGTGTGTGCATATGTGTCATTGTCCTCATTGTTTTCAGACTAGCTTGGTTTTGGGTTTACTGTATCTGGGTTCTTTCCCGAGTGTCTCATTTGTTGTAGGTGGCCAAGTATGCAGCTTTGTATTTACTGCTGTTTGGCAATCGTTTGTGCACAGTATGTTGCTTGATATTTGCATGTTTGATTATGCATTCATTTTAGCACCCTGTCATATTTAGATAATATGTTTTCCTGGCAGTTTCCTGCCCTACAATGTTAGCAAACCCCTTACCCTCTATTGCTGTTTTTATTGGAGTATTGAGACAGATGATACTGTGGGTTGTCTCCTTGGCATTTGGTGGTGGGGGACTAGGGCTAGGTTAACAGTCCACATTATTCAGGTCAGTGCTGACAGACACCAGTCAGGAACAGGCACTGCTCAAAGGGCCCAATGTGTATTAAATCATTGCATCATCTTAATCCTAGAGGCAAATGCTTTACTCTTTTGCCCATTTTACAGAAAGGAGATTAAATAACTTGTCCGAAGCCACATTTTTAGTAAGTGAGGAAGTTTCAAACCCTATCTTTTTTTTTTTTTTTTTTTGATACCAGGGATTAAACTCAGGTCCTTGAGCTTGCGAGGTAGGTGGTGGAACCACTGAACTAAATCCCCAGCCTCAAACCCTATCTTATGAAGACTCCAGCACAGAGCTGCTTTGCCAGCCCAGGTGATGACTTTAAACCTCTATAAAGTACCTTCAAGTGTAATGTCTGGTTTGTGTACATTTACTGTGAGCCATTGTTAAATTAGTAAGAATTATCCATCAGGTAATAAGGTCTAGATTTAAAATGTGTTGGAGGAAGGCGAATCTGTCCTGGCTGAGCCGCTTGTCATCAGTTTAGTCTGATAGTCACAGATTTTCTTTATTTTAGAAGTGACATAGAGCCAAGATCGGATGGCTGTGAGTGACTGAGTGACAAAGGTGGCTGCCCTGGTGTGTGGGAGCTGGTGCTTTCTCGATTTGCAGCCTTAGGCTGAGGGAGTCATCCAGGTGCCCCTGGGATAGAAAAGCTGTAGGGACATTGAACGGCTCCTGTCTCTACCTCACAGCCAGATGGCTTAGTTGTAATAGGAGAGACGGGGTAATTTGTGACCAGTTTATCCTGAAATGAGGCAAAGAATGCATATGCTTCCATGTGGTAAGCCAAGGAGAAGTATTAGGAAGTGATTAAGTTACTGAGACTGACTTTTGTCTTTGCCCTGCAAATGATAATGTTGATGGTTATTTCTTTAAGAAAAATGTCCAAGAAAGTTTCCTCTGTAATAATGTAATAATAATTTGGCAATATGCACATGAAAAGGTGCTTTACTACCCTCTAAGTCTTATTTTAAATGGAAAAAATAATGTAAGGAGCTATAGAAAGTTAGAATATGGAGGTAAATGTACAGCTGTTATCTCCAAGACACTTTATTAAGTGAAAGCAAGTAATGTGTATACTTCTATATATAACTGTGCCTTTCTGAGCTTTTTATACTGACCCCCACAATAAGAATACATTTTATGTCACAGATGAGTACATTATAAATATGATATAATGAAATGAAAGTTTGTGAAATATTTGCCTTAAAGGGTAAAGCACTTTGGTTCTCTGTTATGATCAATGAATTAGTGTTTTTAATGTAAAGTTTACTTGATCATCTCCTAATGTGTTGCCACCTAGAATTACAAAAACACCCACTTAATGTGATGTGTTTGTGCCCAAAGAGGGAAACATTGGAAACTTTTGAGAGTATTGCCTCTGGTTTCCTCTGAGTGGAGCTGGGGTTGTGGTCGCAAGGAGGGAGGTACCATCTGCCTCTTTCCCCAAGGTTTAATAGCTGAAGTGCCAAGTGAGGATGCCATCTTCACTCTGGTCCTCAGCCTGTCGGCTGTGCCCACTGCCCATGTTTGCTGGGGCTCTGGCTTGGCTCTGGCCCCGCCATTTGCGCCCTCCAGGCTGCTCTGCTCCCCAGCCTGCTCAGGTGCAGCTTCTGAAGTGCTGCAGAGCTGAGAAAAGAATTTCAGAAAACTGGAGCTTCACTCACAGCGTGAACTCATAGGATGTGTCTTTCCTTTTGGTTTTCAAATTAGAACTGGCACATAAGTTACTTTCAGGAGTAAAAAATGTTATTTTTAATGTGGAGAATTAAATGTGTGTCCATTGCACATTCTTTGAAAAGAATTGTTCTTATGTTATGAAAATTCTGTATAAAAAGCATTGCGTAGAGACTAATCAATGTCCTTCTTTCCTAATAGGTTTTAAAATGGAAAATTTCGATGCGTCGCTCAGTACCTATTTCAGGGCATGGCTGGGCCCCCGAGGTGAGGCGCTCTCTGGTTTTGCTCACTTTTCCACAGTCTCCCCAATCTTCAGAGCTGCTTGTGAATATTGCATGAGAGTTCCAGAAAGCGTTACTGTTCCCTGTGATGAGACAGAATGCGCCCCTGCCAGCAGCCTTGGCAGTCGTGGAACCACAGTGGCCCTGGCTCTGGGGCAGGGGCAGCTGCCATCATGGCCCCTGCTAACATCAGCAGGAGACTGACTCAGGCTGCTGCCTTAGCCGGGAACACCCTAGCTATCAGCGTTGTCAAGGGTGTGCATCTGAGAGAGGGCATTACTACAGTAGAGTTTAAACCTTCCCTTTTGGCTGGCCTTCAAATTCCTGGACTCTAGTGATTCTCCCACTAGGCGTGCATATTTGGGGATGAACCCAGGGCCTCGTGCATGCTAGGCAAGTGTGCACCGCTGAGCTGCATCCCGAACCTTGAGGGCTTTTCCGTGTCCTTCAGTCTTTCTGGTCAGTGGGTACATGGGTGCACCAGAACTCACTTGCTATATATCTGTCCATCTTTATTATCTCTCAGAAAGTAAATCAGGTCCATATTATCTTCTTTTAATGTCAGCTATGTCTTTTAATGTCTTATCTAGAAAGAAGGAACATTTTAGGTTCACAGAAAGATTCACAGAAAAACTACACAGCTTTTAAACAGATGAAACTATTCTCAGTTTCACTCATGATTTTTAAAACAGCAAAGAAAACAAAAGAAGCTTCATCCACCAGTGTGGCAGAAATGAAACGGTGTTTGACACCATGGTGACAATTAATGGGTGGGGACCTCTGGGTGCTGCTGGGCCTCTTCCGTGCTTCCTGCGCTCAGCACCTTCTGCTCCTCAGAACCTGAGTAGCTATGCCAAGGTGCATTTGAGGACACTTGGCCTGGCACTGGATGTCCTCTGGGTCCCGTTCTCTAGGGGCAGGATGAGTAAGTTAGAGAACAGCTGAGTGAAGTAACAAGTTAGACCCACTTTGTGGATCTACTTAAGTAGGCTGTGAGGGACAGAAAGCTCAGCTGTAATTCGCTAAAATGGTAATAAAAATTATTAGCATACATCACAAGGCGGGGCAAACTCCTAGGTCATCTTGGGGGTTCTGTAGTGTTAACCAAGAACCTTGTTCTCAATCACTTCCTGGCTTTGCTGTCCTGTCTTCAGGGTGTGTCCCCCACTTTCCATCCTGAGGATGGCTGCAATAGCTCAGGCAGCCTGTCCAGAGGAAGAAGAAAACATGTTCATCTCATGGCTTAAGAACAAGGAGATTTCCCCTGAGCCCTTCACCAGCTGTGATCGCTAGAATTTTAGCGGCCACGGTTGCTTCACAAGCCCATGTCTCTTAGACGTAAAGGCCAGCCACCAGAGGGGCGCTGAGCACTGTGATTGGCCAGATTGCTGAGGATCTCCTGTCCTGGAGGCATGCAGCGGTTGGAGGGGTAGAGATTGAGTTGTGTTCGGGCACAGAAAGACCTGGGACAAAATGAAATAGCAAGGTGCAAAACAGAGCTTTGAGAAAAAGGAAGGGGAGCATTTGTGTGTTTGTGTGTATTTATTTTATATCACACATAAAAACATAACAGTCTGATGTTTGTTTTAAGTGGAAATTTGCTATCTCAAAATTGATGCTAAGGCCTAGAGCTGGGAACAGAGACCCTCAGAGTTCCCCTTATTGGAGTCTCCAGTGCTGACCCCGCCCTGGAAGACGATCATGTAGCAGCCAGGAACACCCTCTGTTGCTCTGGCAGAATGAACAGGGAGGTGTGGTGGGACATCCCTCTCTGAGTTAGGGCAAGTGAGCTCCCAGAGGAACACTGGGGGAGTTTGGGTGTCTGTGAGAAAGGAAGATGGTGCAGCCAGGAAGCCAAAGGCAGAAACTATCCGTTAGCTGCTGCTGCCTCTCTGAAAAAGCAGGGTGAATCTTGTGCTCTACACTTCAGAGTGGAGGACCTTTGTGGGTGGACAAGACTGAGGATCTGCAGGTCTGGGGGTGTTGCTGCAGTAGGATGCAAGGGAAACATGTTGCAGAGATGGCTTCCTCACTTGAGTCAGCCAGAGGATGCAGTTGAGCCTGCAGGGGATCTGGTGTGGGGAGTTGACCACCATCAGACATCTGAGAAGAGGCTGTCCCTTTGCTGCTGGTGGCCTCTTGGGCCTATTTCCCCTCTCCCTCCCTGTCCTTGCATGGGAAGAGTGTGGCTGCCCTGGATCAGTGCAGGCCTTCTCACTCAAGCTCCTCCCCACATTGTCCCTGAGTGGTCCATATGTGTCCGTGGCCACTTCACCAGCCTGTTGTCTTTGGTCTTCAGCCACTGTCTCCTTGCTATTGGCCCCTTGCTCCCAGCGGATGTTGCCTTCTGGTCAGGGATAGTCACTAGCTTGGCCAGAGGTACAGTTCTGAGTCCACATGTGCTGGGCATCCTTGGTGACACTTGGCTAACATAGAGGACTTTAGAGTCGACAAATTGCCATATCGTGGGTTTCATGACCCTGTATATCAATAAATCTAATAACTCTCACTAGTGAGAAATTCGGCTTTCTCTTTTTCTTTTAGATGTTGTGGAAAGCACAATTTATTACTTAGCAAAAACCATAAATAATAGACATTATTACTCAGAACATGTAACTAGGAGCTTCATCTTTGACACTGAAAATTCATGCCTCTGTGGCTGCTTTATCAAGGTTGGATTGGGGACAGAGCTTAGTGGTAGAGCTAATGCCATGGCATATGCAAAGCCCTAGGTTCAATCCTCAGCACTAGAATAAAATGTCTGTGTGTATGAGGAGCACACATGTATGTATATGCACATATGAATATTAGTAGGTAGCTTTATAAATCGTGGTTAGAGGAATTTGCAGTGTTTTAAAACTTGTGGTTATTTATCTACCTTATTAATAACTTTTTATTTTGTTGTTTTGCAGATACCAGAGTAAAAGGATGGTTTCTCCTAGACAATTATATACCTACATTGGTCTGCTCTGTCATTTATTTACTAATTGTATGGCTGGGACCAAAATACATGAAGAATAAACAGCCACTCTCTTGCCGAGGAATTTTATTGGTGTATAACCTCGGGCTCACCTTGTTGTCTCTCTATATGTTCGTCGAGGTAGGTCCAGAGTTGTGTGGCTTCCTCGCTTAAATGTGCTCTCCTGCTGTCCTGAAACACATACATGGAGGAGGAGAGACAGCTGCCTGCTAGAGGGGTTGGAGTCAGAAGAGCAGGAACAAGCCTATTAATGCATTTTGGGTTTTTTTGAGATTGATTTTTCAAAGTGCCATAGTTGTTTATACACATCTTTTAGAATATCTAGAATAAATGCCTTTAGTATTGATTCCTTTGTTATTTTTATTTTGTGGAATATTCAGAACTAAATGTTTTCTAAAATACCCTCTTGTGAGCAGAACAGAGTGGAAATTGAACAAAATGTGAAAACCCAGTCCGTGAGCATTGTATGGTTAAGCACACAACATAGCCTGTTTCTGTTGATTGAGCAAATGGGGGAGGAAGGAAGTGGGTAGAACTTGAGTTTGGTAAACTTGATGGCAGTGTGGCCTGTCCTGAGCTGGTAACTTGTTAGCTCTCAGAAGTTCTCTTTGAAAGCTAAGGTGAGTGCATTAGACCCACATGTAGGTTTTGAATGACCTGTGTAAAATCACTCACAGTTATTTCTTTTACATGCCTGGGATGTTGAAAATCAAATTTGATAGTTTCAGAAGCAAGTATTGTAACCTAAATCAAAGTGAAAGACAAGGGCTGGGCCGGGGATTTAGCTCAGTAGTTCCGCCTGAGTTCAATCCCTGGTACCAAAAAAGAAAGAAAGAAAGAAAGAAAGAGAGAGAGAGAGAGAGAGAGAGAGAGAGAGAGAGAGAG